TCTCACTCTTCCTTCCACATTTTCATCCCTCCCTTCATTCCTGTCTCTTTGCCTACCTCCTTCCTTCCCTTACTCCCCCCCCCCCCGTTCCTACTTCTCTCCCTTCCTCCTTCCCTACTTCCCTTACCTCTCTCTCTCTTGCTTCCTATATCGTTGACCTCTTCCCTCCCTTCTTTACTCTCCTCCCTTCCTCCTTTCTCCCGTTCCTCCCTCTGTCTTTGACTCGTTCCTTCCATCTCTGCTACTCCTTCTCTCTTTTACTCCATAAAGTGAGGCGCGTGAGTGACTCCTCATTACCACCTGACACCTGCCAGTCATCAAGTGTCTCCCTCCCCCTGCTGTACTAACACCTTGCCTCTCATATTTACATTTCTCACAGTTAATTAACCCGCACCGCCACAACTCTTTACCGTGAGCAGCGCCTCCTCCTGTGGGTGTGTGCCCGTTCATGGCTTCCACCTCTCTAGTGGCCTCACCTTTCATTCCTTCTCTGTGGGAGGGGAGTCACTCATCAGTTTCTTCCTCCTCAGAGTCACGCTTTGCTGGCTTCTTCCTATTTGGGGGGTAGGAGGGGCGGCGGTCACGCCGAGATGAGTTTCTTCTCTGTTGGATTCATCATTTGATATCTTCCTCCTCTGTGGGGGATGTTACCATTTGATGCCTTCTTCCTCTGTAAGAGGTGTTGTTTTTTGATGTCGTCAGCTGTGGGATGTTGTTTTGAATGTCGTCTTCCTCTGTGGAGGAGTATTTTGATGTCTTCCTCGGTGGGGAAGTCACACTTTGATGTCTTCTCTCTCTGTGTAGGTATCACTCAGTTATGGCTTCTTCCTCTGTGGGGGAGAGTCACCCTTGATGTCCTCATGCTGTGTGAGGGCGAATAATTGTAATACTACTGAGGCACTGGTGATAGTCATACTCATCCACAACTATCATGACGGACTATCAGGAAACACTGTATGTATAGTAATATGGCTGCCTCTAGGCTGATGAGTAGTACTCTGGTCAAACACGTTTGTGTTTGAATTCTCACTTTGAACGTCACGTGACGTACTGTAACCACAGGGCCTACGTCAGCACGTTAATAGGGGATTGGGCTGAGGAACGTTACTTGGTTGTTTGACGTCACGAAGTATGGACGTTTGAGAACATCATTTGGCTGCTTGACGTCACGAAGTGTGCACGCTTGATCTCTAATACACCGCGCTCAATTTCTATCTATTCCGAGCCCCTGCACGAAGGCCGGGGTCATTCTTGAGAGAAATGGTCTCATTTGAAGTAGCAATATAAGACGTCCGTCTCCCGCTGTACTGTACGCTGAAAAAGACTTTGTAGACTGACAGAAGGTGGAAAGCGTGCTGTGCCGAGCAACGGGTTGATACTCCCTGTGACGGTGATTGATGTGCAACACTGTTCACGCTAGGCAACACTCCATAGTAGCGTAGCGTGCAGTCATCACGCTAGACAACACTACATAGCAGCAGCATAGCAGTGCGTATGCGCCGGTCATAAGTAGAGTACACATGCGCCTGTGACCAGGGCTTCTCCTCCTGCTCTCAGCTGACCAGGAACAAACAGGGGACAGGCGAGCCAGAAAGAGAACACGAACCTGTCAATCTCACGCGATATTGATATCCATTTGAGCGACTGTGGTGGTGTTAGCGTGGTCGTTAAGCGCCTGCCTGGCCACGCTCTTTACCGTTTCTCGCTGAATGGTTGTGTACTGTGGACTGCATGATGCCACACTCACACACTCTCACACACTCACACACACTCACTTGTATGTTACGAGTTCAGCAAGTTAGTCATCAGCTGAGAACTTTGTGTGCACTCACCTATTTGTACTTACCTGTTTGTGTTTGCGGGAGTTGAGCTCTGGCTCTTTGGTCCCGCCTCTCAACTGTCACTCAACTGGTGTACAGGTTCCTGAGCCTACTGGGCTCTATCATATCTACACTTGAAACTGTGTATGGAGTCAGCCTCCACCACATCACTTCCTAATGCATTCCACCCGTTAACTACTCTGACACTGAAAAAGTTCCTTCTAACGTCCCTGTGGCTCATTTGGGTACTCAGTTTCCACCTGTGTCCCCTTGTTCGCGTCCCACCAGTATTGAATAGTTTTTCCTTGTCTACCCGGTCGATTCCCCTGAGGATTTTGTAGGTTGTGATCATGTCTCCCCTTACTCTTCTGTCTTCCAGTGTCGTAAGGTGCATTTCCCGCAGCCTTTCCTCGTAACTCATGCCTCTTAGTTCTGGGACTAGTCTAGTGGCATACCTTTGGACTTTTTCCAGCTTTCTCTTGTGCTTGACAAGGTACGGGCTCCATGCTGGGGCCGCATACTCCAGGATTGGTCTTACATATGTGGTGTACAAGGTTCTGAATGATATATATATCATTCATATCCTGTCCTCATATCCCAGCATATCCTGTCCTCATATCCCAGCATATCCTGTCCTCACATCCCAGCATATCCTGTCCTCATATCCCAGCATATCCTGTCCTCACATCCCAGCATATCCTGTCCTTATATCCCAGCATATCCTGTCCTCGTATCCCAGCATATCCTGTCCTTATATCCCAGCATATCCTGTCCTTATATCCCAACATATCCTGTCCTTATATCCCACTATATCCTGTCTTCATATCCCAGCATATCCTGTCCTTATATCCCAGCGTATCCTGTCCTTATATCCCAACATATCCTGTGCTTATATCCCAACATATCCTGTCCTTATAACCCAATATATCCTGTCCTTATATCCCAACATATCCTGTCCTTATATCCCAACATATCCTGTCCTCATATCCCAGCATATCCTGTCCTTATATCCCAACATATCCTGTGCTCATATCCCAACATATCCTGTCCTTATAACCCAACATATCCTGTCCTTATATCCCAACATATCCTGTCCTCATATCCCAGCATATCCTGTCCTAATATATCTTCCACGTGTAATATAGTCACACTGGCTTATAATTGAGTGATTTGACAACATGGTGTCAAAGACGCTGTTACAGATGACACCTAGTTCACCTGACAAGTTAATAGTGGCTTTGGCTTTGACACGGAGTATTTTATGAATGGCAAACACGGTGATTCTCTGAACGTTGTGAATGGTTGCGTCATGAATGGTAGTAAACATGAATGAGATAACTGAGGTATGCTGACTTTATGAATGAGTGGTAGTACTACGTACAACTATTGTCAACTGTTTTTGTTCAATTAACTGTAGTACACACGAGAGTCGCCATTGTTGAGGGCGATGTTATGGTAATTTTGTTTTGTTAATGGTGGTTTAAACTAATTGAGGGAGGAAAGTGTCAGCTTATGAATAACAACATCATTGAGTCAATAGATGATATATTTTGGTGTTCAGAAATAATGTTCAGGATCTGGATCAGGATTTGTACATTATGTTTATTATTCTAAGTGTGTATGTGTGTGTGTGTGTGTGTGTGTGTGTGTGTGTGTGTGTGTGTGTGTGTGTGTGTGTGTGTGTGTGTATGTGTGTGTGTGTGTGTGTGTGTGCGTTTGTGTGTGTACTCACCTAGTTGTGTTTGCAGGGGTTGAGCTCTGGCTCTTTGGTCCCGCCTCTCAACCGTGTATGTGTATGTGTGTATGTGTGTGTGTGTGTGTGTGAGTGTGTGTGTGTGTGTGTGTGTGTGTATGTGTGTGTGTGTGTGTGTGTGTGTGTGTGTGTGTGTGTGTGTGTGTGTGTGTGTGTGTGTGTGTGTGTGTGTGTGTGTGTGTGTGTGTGTGTGTGTTCCTGGCGGGATATGGGATAAACTTAGCCAACTTTGCGGACGCTGTGGGTGATGTTCCTCCCCTGTCTAGTAAGTTAGGGCAAGTCCCGTGGAGCGACTGGATGGCGCCTGGCCTGAGCAGTCACACGACCCATGCGCCGGGGAGCCTGCTTCACCTCTCACACGGTCGGCATGCCTCATTTGTTCTGGTTTATGGGGCTAGGCTGCCCACTTAACATCTATTTCAACACACACACACACACACACCTGCCTACGTGAGACCAGTCGTTGAGTATGCAGCCCCATCATGGAGCCCCGTCCCCCACCTAAAGAAACATTTTTGGAAACTAGAAAAGGTTCAACAATTTGCGACGAGGCTCGTCCGGAGTTGCGTGGGATAGGATATGAAGAGCGACTAAAGGAACTGAATCTGGCGACGTTAGAAAAAAGGAGGGAGCGGGGAGATATGATAGCAGCATACAAAATACTTGATTGACAGAGTGTACATAGACGAAATGTTCACACGGAATATCAAGTCAACGAGAGGACATGGGTGGAAGCTGGAAACTCAGATGAGTCACAGAGATGTTAGAAAATGTTCTCTTACCGTGAGAGTAGTGGGGGCAACGGAATGCGCTTAAGGAACAGGTTGTGGAAGCAAATACTATTCATAATTTTAAAACTAGATATGATAGGGAAATGGGACAGGAGTCATTGCTGTAAACAACCGGCGGCTAGAAAGGCGGGATCCAAGAGTCAGCGCTCGATCCTGCAGGCACAAATAGGTGCGTACACAATGTTTACATTCTGGAACAGATGAACGAGAGAACATAATTGGAAACTGGAAACAGAAATGACTCACAGGGATATAAGAAAGCTTTTTAGTCTATGAGTCGTAAATAAGTGGAGCGGACTAGATGAAAAAGTTATCGATGCCAATTCTATACACAACTTAAAATGTAAATATAAGAAAAACTAGTGAAATGAGTCACTGTATTAAGGTACTGGGGAGCCGGTCGGCCGAGCGGACAGCACGCTGGACTTGTGATCCTGTGGTCCCGGGTTCGATCCCAGGCGCCGGCGAGAAACAATGGGCAGAGTTACTTTCACCCTATGCCTCTGTTACCTAGCAGTAAAATAGGTAGCTGGGTGTTAGTCAGCTGTCACTGGCTGCTTCCTGGGGGTGGAGGCCTGGTCGAAGACCGGGCCGCGGGGACACTAAAGCCCCGAAATCATCTCAAGATAACCTATAATGATTATGGAAAGGCGGGGCTTAGGAGCAGATGGTCGACCCTTCAAGCACAAAGAGGTGAGTGTAGTACACATGTGTGAGTGTCTTGAGACAGTGTGAGGCACAGGACACCCTTAACACCACGTGTAGTACACATGTGTGAGTGTCTTGAGACATTGTGAGGCACAGGACACCCTTAACACCACGTGTAGTACACATGTGTGAGTGTCTTGAGACAGTGTGAGGCACAGGACACTCTTAACAACACCGACACACAGGTGCCCACAAAGGTACAACTTGGAGGATGTTTAACTTCCAGTACTTCCTCTAAGCTGCACCTCCATCTAAGCCTTCACTGCCCTTATCTAAGCACTAACCCCATTTTAACTATCATCCCCACCTAACCTAACCATTCCTCCAATGTTAGTCCTCGACCTTATCCCAGCTTCAAACCTAATTCTTCAAGCCCCTTTCTTTCCCTCTTGCTCCCCGACAAATTACTATTCCACAAAACACAGCAGTGAGTTACTCAGAGACCCAATTACCCTAGGCCAGGGGTAGGCAACTCTTGGCACGCGTGCCAAACGTGGCACGCACACCTAAAATGATTGTCCACCCCTGTCGTAGGCTTTATATATATATATATATATAATATATATATATATATATATATATATATATATATATATATATATATATATATATATATATATATATATATATATATGCGAATGGCTGTGGAAAATAATTTCTGATTACAAATATAATTTCAATTTCCTACTCTTCTAGGCAATCAGATTGGGGATTTCTGTCTTCCTGGCTCGTTTGTCAGTGCTAATGTTATCTTGAGGCTATCTTGAGATGATTTCGGGGCTTAGCTTCCCCGCGGCCCGGTCCTCAACCAGGCCTCCTATTTGTTACACATCCTCAGGAAGCAGCCCGTAGCAGCTGTCTAACTCCCAGGTACCTATTTACTGCTAGGTAACAAGGGCATCAGGGTGAAAGAAACTTTTTGCCCATTTATCTCCGCCTCCACCGGGGATCGAACCCGGAACCTCAAGACTACGAATCCGAAGCTCTGTCCACTCAGCTGTCAGGCGCCTAGGAACTGGTACACTAGTGTCTGAAACTGTCATAGTAATCACACACTCCTTAGCCAGGAGTGAGACTCCTACAGTGGTCACCCATTCAGTTACTGGCCTGTCCGAATTAAGTGCTTAACCTGAGTGACTTATGTTTGCAGCATTCACTGTTGCGTCCCGCTTAACGTATGCGTTGCGTCACGCTTTTAGCGTCCATTGTTGCGTCCTGCTCACACCATCCACTGCGTCACGCCCCCTAGCATCCACTGCGTCACGCCCCTAGCATCCACTGCGTCACGCCCCTAGCATCCACTGCGTCACGCCCCTAGCATCCACTGCGTCACGCCCCTAGCATCCACTGCGTCACGCCCCTAGCATCCACTGCGTCACGCCCCTAGCATCCACTGCGTCACGCTCCTAGCATCCACTGCGTCACGCCCCTAGCATCCACTGCGTCACGCCCCTAGCATCCACTGCGTCACGCCCCTAGCATCCACTGAGTCACGCCCCTAGCATCCACTGAGTCACGCCCCTAGCATCCACTGCGTCACGCCCCTAGCATCCACTGCGTCACGCCCCTAGCATCCACTGAGTCACGCCCCTAGCATCCACTGCGTCACGCTCCTAGCATCCACTGCGTCACGCCCCTAGCATCCACTGCGTCACGCTCCTAGCATCCAGTGCGTCACGCCCCTAGCATCCAGTGCGTCACGCTCCTAGCATCCACTGCGTCACACCCCTAGCATCCAGTGCGTCACGCTCCTAGCATCCACTGCGTCACTCCCCTAGCATCCAGTGCGTCACACCCCTAGCATCCAGTGCGTCACGCTCCTAGCATCCAGTGCGTCACACCCCTAGCATCCAGTGCGTCACGCCCCTAGCATCCACTGCGTCACGCCCCTAGCATCCACTGCGTCACGCCCCTAGCATCCACTGCGTCACACCCCTAGCATCCAGTGCGTCACGCTCCTAGCATCCAGTGCGTCACACCCCTAGCATCCAGTGCGTCACGCTCCTAGCATCCACTGCGTCACGCCCCTAGCATCCACTGCGTCACGCTCCTAGCATCCAGTGCGTCACACCCCTAGCATCCACTGCGTCACGCTCCTAGCATCCACTGCGTCACACCCCTAGCATCCAGTGCGTCACGCTCCTAGCATCCACTGCGTCACACCCCTAGCATCCAGTGTGTCACGCTCCTAGCATCCACTGCGTCACACCCCTAGCATCCAGTGCGTCACACCCCTAGCATCCAGTGCGTCACACCCCTAGCATCCAGTGCGTCACACAAATCCCAGCAAGGAAAGCTAATCAGCAGCAACGATCAACAATATTGCAATACTCTACACCTCACAAAAGCAAGCCTAAGGCCGCTCCCAGCGCCCCCTGCGACACCTCCCAGCACCCCCTGCGACACCTCCCAGCGCCCCCTGCGACACCTCCCAGCACCCCCTGCGACACCTCCCAGCGCCCCCTGCGACACCTCCCAGCGCCCCCTGCGACACCTCCCAGCGCCCCCTGCGACACCTCCCAGCGCCCCCTGCGACACCTCCCAGCGCCCCCTGCGACACCTCCCAGCGCCCCCTGCGACACCTCCCAGCGCCCCCTGCGACACCTCCCAGCGCCCCCTGCGACACCTCCCAGCGCCCCCTGCGACACCTCCCAGCGCCCCCTGCGACACCTCCCAGCGCCCCCTGCGACACCTCCCAGCGCCCCCTGCGACACCTCCCAGCGCCCCCTGCGACACCTCCCAGCGCCCCCTGCGACACCTCCCAGCGCCCCCTGCGACACCTCCCAGCGCCCCCTGCGACACCTCCCAGCGCCCCCTGCGGCACCTCCCAGCGCCCCCTGCGACACCTCCCAGCGCCCCCTGCGACACCTCCCAGCGCCCCCTGCGACACCTCACAGCGCCCCCTGCGACACCTCCCAGCGCCCCCTGCGACACCTCCCAGCGCCCCCTGCGACACCTCCCAGCGCCCCCTGCGACACCTCCCAGCGCCCCCTGCGACACCTCCCAGCGCCCCCTGCGACACCTCCCAGCGCCCCCTGCGACACCTCCCAGCACCAGACATTTCATAACGGGCTGTCTCATGATGTAACGTTTTCTCTCTATCTCGCTTCTGGTTTTTTTTTAACTAAGACTAGGGATCATAAGGGCTCTCAAATGACGCGCCTGGTGAAACTGCAAGCAAGAGCTGTTATGCTACCTGAGTTCATCTGAAATCTGCTGCTAAAAACTCATGTATTTCATGAGAATGTACTTTGACACTCACTATCACATAGGAAACAACCATAAAGGAATTATCGTATAAGGAACCTGGTGAAACTGCAAGCAAGAGCTGTTATGCTACCTCAGCTTAGTTGAAACCAACTCCTAGAGACCCATATATTTCATGAGCCTGTTATATGCATCAGTAACAATAAGCTTTATTCATTAAGAACATTAGGTAAGAATGATATAAGGAAGAGGATGAGCCTGTAGCCAGCTGTGTGCCAGAGCCTTCATGTGACCAGGTGACCTGACCTCCCGTGTGTCATCCTGTTTGGTCATCAAGTTCCAGATGAGAGTCACCCTCGGAGTGATGGAGTGATGTTCTTGAGAATGGCACTTCCAGCATGAGACTGTTGAAGGGTGACTGTTGAAGGGTGACACTGACGGGTGACACTGACGGGTGACACTGGCGGGTGACACTGGCGGGTGACACTGGCGGGTGACACTGGCGGGTGACACTGGCGGGTGACACTGGCGGGTGACACTGACGGGTGACACTGGCGGGTGACACTGGCGGGTGACACTGGCGGGTGACACTGGCGGGTGACACTGGCGGGTGACACTGACGGGTGACACTGGCGGGTGACACTGATGGGTGACACTGACGGGTGACACTGGCGGGTGACACTGGCGGGTGACACTGGCGGGTGACACTGACGGGTGACACTGGCGGGTGACACTGACGGGTGACACTGGCGGGTGACACTGGCGGGTGACACTGACGGGTGACACTGGCGGGTGACACTGATGGGTGACACTGGCGGGTGACACTGACGGGTGACACTGACGGGTGACACTGGCGGGTGACACTGACGGGTGACACTGGCGGGTGACACGTTACAAAGAAGAAACATGACGAAGAAGAGAGCAATAGAGAAAATATTTTCTGTACAAAAGAAGTGTAAGAAAATTGAGAATGAAGAAAATATAAAAGGTGGAAATGCGAATAAATGGAATTGTGAAGTATAAAAGTACCTGATATCATCAGTAGGGACCTGATATCATCAGTGGGTACCTGATATCATCGGTGAGTACTATATATGAACGGTGGGTACCAGATTTCAACGGTGGGTATCTGATATCAAGAGATACCAGATATCAAGAGATACCAGATATCACCGGGAGTACCAGATATCAACGGAGGTACAAGATATCAGCGAGGGTGCCAGATATCAACAGGGGCCGGGTACCTGATATCATTGGGGTACCATATATCAACGAGGTACCAGATATCAACCAGATTACCAGATGTCAACGGGGCACCAGATATCAACAAGGAGTACAAGATATCAACTGAGGGGTACAAGATATTAACGGAGGGTGTTAGATATCATCAGGAGGTACCAGATGTCGACAGAGATGCCAAACATCAACAGGAGGTACCCCAGATATCAACAGGAAGTACCAGATATCAATACGAAGTATCAAATATCCTCACGGGGTAACCAGATATCAACAAGGGGGGTTGCCAGATATCAACAGGGGGTTACCAGATATCAATACGCGGGGTAGCCAGATATCAACGAACTTGTTGCTATAGATAATATATACAATCAAATTATTTTTCTGGCCTCCATTAGTGACTGTGATATCCTACTGAGACTCAATAAAGACTCCCAGAATAGTTCGAATCAATAAGGAATCTCAAAATAGCTTTAAACAATAAAGCCTCACAGAATGCCCTTGATCCCAGAATAACCCTAATCAATAAAGAATCCCAGAATAGTTCTAATCGACAAGGAATCCCAGAACAGTCTTGATCAATAAAAAAAATCCCAGAATAGTTCTAATCAATACGGAATCCCGGAAAAGCCCTAATCAATAAAGAATCTTTGAATGAAATATACACATTAAAATTCGGCTAAAAGAATCAATTCAGCATCTAATACAATAAAGGTCATGTAATACAATAAAGGTCATGTAATACAATAAAGGACATGTAATTCAATAAAGGTCATGTAATTCAATAAAGGACATGTAATTCAATAAAGGTCATGTAATTCAATAAAGGTCATGTAATGTCTCTAATCAACACCAGTCTGGTGTCTATAGTAACTAAGATCAGAAAAGCTATAAAATCGCTTGAATTTACACAGGTCACGAAGGGATGATTTACAGTGTATTATAATTTACAATGTTCACGAAGGGATGATTTACAGTGTATTATAATTTACAATGTTCACGAAGGGATGATTTACAGTGTATTATAATTTACAATGTTCACGAAGGGATGATTTACAGTGTATTATAATTTACAAAGCTCTCGCAAATGTTCCCATAAAAGGTTTGATAATATTCGAGAATTTTATTTATAAGAAGTTTTTGCAAATGACTAAATATTACAAAACAGTTTCAATACCTAAGGCTTTGTAAAGTCTGACTTTTCAAATTTCGAGACTTAAGAAACGCGAGTAATTACTCAAGACAGAATAGAGCAGGAAAAGCCCAAACCATTTCACATATACTTTAACCACTAATTTACAAATTGCTAAATTATGTTCTCAAATATGTACACTGAAATAATAATTATAATAATAATAATAATAATAATAAAAACGTGTTTGGTTGTGCTTATCCTACTAGAAAATTAGTTTTTAATCCTAGCGTAAGATGATGTTTTTATTAGGATAAAAACATCATCTAAGATGATGTTTTTATCCTAGTGGAAGACCGAACGTTCCTTAATAGAAAATGGTCCTTGCTTGCCAGAAACAGACAGGTTTAAGCCGATAACTGATGTGTAACACAGCGATATTATCTGTGGCGGGTAGATGAGAATGAGTTTACAAGAGAGGAATACCTCGCTACTCACTGTATACACTGTTTACTTTAGTTGTGACCGATGCTCAAGACTAATGTAAACTTACTGGCTAGTCAAGGAGCTATTGTGTCCTTAATACTCCTCCAGATGTTGATCTGAAGACCCGACACCAGCCTGAGAGAGAGTTTTAAGACAGGTTTGAGGTTGTTGTCTGATATCTCAGACAGGCAATCATCCAACTGGTTATAATCGATAGATCCGTTTGTCTATTAGTCTCCCTGTTTCATGGTAATGCGTTCGTCTTTATGTGTTCCATTTACCTTCCCATCTTCCTCCTCTCCTCCCTACCTCCTTCTCTACCAAGCCCTCTCACCATTCTCCTTCCTTAACCTAACCTAACCTAACTAAACTTAGCCTAACTTGGCATAACCTATCCTTCCTCAATGTAACCTAACGTAAACTAACCTAACTTAAGCTTACAATTTACTCTTCTCGCAATCGTTCACAGACAAGACTTGCTGTGTTGATATCCATATATTTCTTATTGATCCACGAACATTTTCACATATATTGTTGCACTACGTTACGACTATTTCTGGATTTGAAGGTTAACCCGGTGTGTGTGTGTGTGTGTGTGTGTGTGGGTGTGTGTGTGTGGGTGTGTGTGTGGGCGTGTGTGGGTGTGTGTGTGTGTGTGTGTGTGTGGG